TGAGCTGACTGCCCAGGAAGCACTGGGATTACTTGGCAGGGACTCAGGTCCACAAGCCTGCCCAGGAAACACTTGACCAACTCAGCTGCAGCCCAGCCCAGTTTTCTCTTAACCTGCTTTTCACTGGAGGAGATTTCACAATCTCCCTTTGTAACTACCTTGCCCCTGCAGAACCCTGAGTACCTTCACAAGCTCAGCCTTCTGGCTTTGAGATTCATATCCGTGTGTGTGTGTGTGTGTGTGTGTGTGTGTGTGTGTGTGTGAACTGCTTTCTCCCTATCCTACCTCCGGCCATTCAAGTTCAGTTACAGGAATTACACAGCAAGTTTAGTGCAGAGCTGAAATGTTCAAGTCTGTACCAACCAAGTCATTGCTGACACACCCGCTTATGTAAGTCAAACAAAGGGCTCCGCCCTGGGAGGATTAATTGCTACAAGGGAGCAAGGGTTTTGGCTGTTGTGGAATTTTGTTTTGTGGAATTTTGTTTTGTTTTGAGGTTTTAGGCATTTAACCCAGGGCCTTGCCCTTACTTGCTAGGCAAATGCTCTACCATAAAGCTGTATTTCCAGCCTTTTTTTTTTTTTTGATGGAAGATCTCGGCCATTCATGCTAGCTTCACTTTCAATACCCCTGCCACCGCCTGCAGAAGGCTGGTTGTTTCTGATCTTTTTCTTTTCTGTTTTGTTTCTCTGCAGCTTTGGATCCTCCCCTGGTACTAGCTCTGTAGAGAAGGCTGGCCTCAAACTCACAGAGATCATCTGCCTCTGTCTCCCAAGTGCGGGGATCAAAGGTGTGCGCCACCACTGCCCATTGTTTCTGACCTTTCTTGATGTAGGTGATTAGGGCAAGCCAAAAAGTTGTTTGAAGTTTTGAGCATCACTGTCAGTGTGACCAGTGTCCCCAGGGCCACTGGCCTTGGTCTCATCTCTCTTCAGCCACTCCACTATCATTTTCCAACAATCCCAGGCAGCAGTAATTTTTTCCTCACTACCTTAACATAAAACTGGACAATCCAAGTAAGGGTTTAACAGTAGTAAATTAAGAAAAACAGCGATTTGATCACTATGTGTGCATAATGTCTATCTAATGGTGACTTAGGGAAATCCAGATGTTTAGTCACATTGACTCAGCATAATTCCTCCCTTGTTAAATCTCAGACGAGAGCAATCAATCTTTGACAAACTGTGAAGGTAAACCACTGTTGGAAGTAAGCCCACAGAAGGAGGAAGAAGTTGCCAGAAAGTTGAGGTGTGCATGCCCCCACTGTGCTCTTAAAAGGGCCATGCTTCCGCCAAATGACTGTTCTCCCAAACTTCGTATTGAGAAATTCAATGCAGGCCTCCATCTGAAGTCAACTAAACTCTCTAATACACAGACGGAGCCAGTTTTTTTTTAACAGGATCATGTCTACTTACAACTTGTAAAACTGGCTTATAAGTAAACGTGATCCTGCTAAGAGTCCAGGGCTTGGTCCCAGCTGGGCCTGGGGTTAAAGTTCAGTTCCACCACTAACTGTTGTCTGACTTCAATTCCCTGAGCACCTCACACAAAATTAAGTTTTTTTTTCTAACTTAAAAAATTTGCTTGTACTTACATGTATAGGTGTTTTGCCTGCCTGAAGATGTCAGATCTTGGAGTTACAGACAGATGTGAGCTGCCATGTGGGTGCTGGGAATTGAACTTGGGTCCTCTGGAAGAGCCGTCAGCGCTCTCAACCACTGAGCCATATCTCCAGCCCTGAGAGGTTGAATTTTTTTTTTTTTTCCGAGACAGGGTTTCTCTGAAGCTTTGGAGCCTGTCCTAGAACTAGCTCTTAAAGACCAGGTTGGCCTTGAACTCAGAGATCCGCCTGCCTCTGCCTCCTGAGTGCTGGGATTAAAGGCATGTGCCACCACCGCTTGACTGAGAGATTTTTTTTTTAACACAGTCTCATTAAGTAGCCCCAGTTGACCTGGAGCTCACTTTGTGCTTAGGCTGACCTTGAACTTTCAGCAATCCTCCTGCCTCTGCTGGTGCTAGAATTCTAGGGGTGAGCCACATCCAGCTCTGCAAGGTGTTTGTGGACTCGGCTCATTTGCCAGAAGGGGGCACCAGATCTTCTGGCCTGCAGGCACACATGGAAGGAATGTTGTATACATAACAAATAAATGTTAAAAAAACAAACAAACAAATACCTGAGCCAGGTAGTGGTGGCACATGCCTTTAACCCTCCAGCACTCGGGAGGCAGAGGCAGGTGGATCTCTGTGAATTTGAGGCCAGCCTGGTCTACAAAACAAGTCCCAGGACAGGCTCCAAAGCTATACAGAGAAACCCTATCTAAAAAAACAAAACAAACAAACAAAAAAAAACTCTAGTAACTTTCTTTTGGTGCTGATATTGTCCCGCCAACATGTTCCTAAGACCCTCTGAGCATTCTGCAAGAAACTGGCACAAAGGGACACAGAACAAGAAGAGCAAGAGTTCTCTGTATGACCAGGGAGACCAGCATGACAACAGGAAACAGGCTATGGCAGGCAGACAAAGTCGATTTCCACAAAAAAGCTAAAACTACAAAGAGGACCGTGCTGAGATTGGAGTGTGCTGAGCCCAACTGCAGACCTAGAGAATGCTGGGTAGTAAGAGATGCAAGCATCTCACCGGGAGGCAATAAGAAGAGAAAGAGAAAGGGCCAAAAGATCCAGTTCTGAGCCAACAATAAAATCAGGAGCTTTTACTCATCTCAAAACAAACAAACAAACAAAAAAACCAAAAAGCACACCTTTAATCCCAGCACTTGGGAGTCAGAGGCAGAGGAGTTCGAGACCTCCCTCGTCTACACAGTGAGTTCCAGGACAGCCAGGTCTGTTACACAGAGACATCCTGTCTCGAAAACCTTAAAGAAAAAAAAAAAGGTTTGGGCTGGAGAAATGGCTCAGTGATTAAGAGCACTGACTGCTCTTCCAGAGGTCCTGAGTTCAATTCCCAGCAACCACATGGTGGTTCACAACCATCCGTAATGAGATCTGGTGCCCTCTTCCGGCATGTGGGAATACATGGAAGCAGAATGTTGTATACATTAAAAAAAAAAAAAAAAAAAAAAAAATTTTTAAAAAACAAGCATCTCACCAGTGCTGGCGTTATGTAGTGATGAAGATTGAACCCAGGCTTAGTACATGTCAGGCACACATTCTACCAACTGAGCCACGTCTGCCTTGCCCTCCCCTCCATGTCTTTGTTTCTCTCTGTGTCTCTGGCAGGTGACTTCTGTCCCTGTTCCTTTAGCTCCCTGTAAACAGCAACACCAATTTGCCCCCCCCTCGGAGCTGGTCAGACTGTTCTTTCCAAGACAAGGGTGGGAGCAAGGCAGTGAAGGAGCTGCCGCAGGACGTTCTCTGTTCTGATAGTCAACTCATTGTCTTGCTTGTAGAAGGCCCTGAGGGCCAAAAAATAAAGCCAAGTTTCTGCTTTAATATTTTGTTGTTGTTTTGCTTGTCTGAGACAGAGTCTCAGTCGTAGCCCTCATCTCCAGGCTTTTAAAATCTCTATGGTGTTGGAGCTTGAACTTTCTTTTCATTCTCACTTTGTAGCCTGGGTGGCTTAATACTCCCAGCAGTCCTCCTGCCTCAGCCTCCCAAGTGCTGAGATGGCAGACATGTATCAGAAAGTCCAGTCCTATGAAGCCTTTGTTAAGCAGGCATGAAGACCTGGGCTCAGATCCCCAGGACCCATGTAAAGTCAGTGCCTGAGCAGGACTGGAACCCCAGTGCTCCTACATGGACAGCAAAGAAAGCAGCGATGAACCCCGCCTAGCTGCTGGGATTATGGATGTCCACTACACCTGATACTGAGGATAGAACCCAGGCCTTTGCGCCTGGTAGGGAAGCACTCTCCCAACTGAAGGATATGCCACAACTTCTCAGTTTAGATAAAAAACAAAAACAAAAAAAATACACAGGCTGGCCAGGCGGTGGTGGCCTTTAATCCCAGAACTCAGGAGGAAGAAGCAGGCAGATCTCTGAATTCAAGGCCAACCTGGTCAACACAGAGGGAGTTCCAGGACAACCAGAGTTACACAGAGAAACCCTGTCTGGAAAAACCAAAACAGCAGGGTGGTGGTGGTACGCTTTTAATCCCAGCACTAGGAAGGCAGAGGCAGGTGGCTCTCTGTGAGTTCGAGGACAGCCTGGTCTATAAGAGCTAGTTCCAGAACAGGCTCCAAAGCTACAGTGAAACCCTGTTTCGAAAAACAAAAACAAACAAACCAAACCAAACAACAGCAACAAAACCCAAGGACCCAGGTCCGAGTTCCCCCGTGGTGGGTAACAACTGTTAGTCCAGTTGCAAGAGATCCCAGGCCCTCTTCTGACCTCCCTAAGCACCAGGCATGCATGAAGTGCAGAGACATACATGCAGGCAAAACCCATACACATAAAATAATAATAAACTAAAAACAAGACAAAACCAAAAGCCCTCGAGCCTCTCTCTCCACTCCTCTCTTCTTTCCGTGCGTGTGAGCACACGAGCCACTGCTGTCGGGGGAGGTCAGAAGCCAACTTCGTGGACCGGGTTCTCTTTCCACCCTCTTGGCGCTTTATTCGCTGATCATTTCGCCCCAGTGTGCGCCTCTGTCCCTGGGCCTGCAAAAATGGTGCACGCTGACCACACTGAGCTCCACAGGAAGATCAGACTGGATTCCTGCCTAAGTGCGCCAGTGGGCTTGGTCAGTTGTTAAGTGCGGTCTAACAGGAATAACGCCCTTCGGGCTGCACCAAGCCCAGGGTCTTCTCTTTTTGCACACGCGAGACCCCGCGCCAGCGGGAGGCAGCGTGCGGCCGGCTAGATCACTTACGCAATCTTCGGGAACTCGCCTCGGACACTCCCGGTGCCATCGACTGCTCGGCGCTCTACACATCTGGCCCCGGGGGTGGGCGGGCCCGTTTGCCCTCAGGTGGTATAACAGGCGCCGGAGCGAGCCAATAGTGTGGGGCATAGCCCCGCCCCTGCCTTCCGATTGGCCGGTGTCGTGGTGAGTCTCCTGAGGCGCCGGGAGCCGGACATCCCGCACTTGCCTCGCAGCACTCAGTTCTTCGTGCTCCTTCCTCGTCGCCCCAGCTCTGACCGCCGCCGCCATGGCCCAGTGAGTGACCGGCACGCGCAGCCAGGCCCGCACTTCAGGGGCTGAGCGTGGTGCTGGCGGGACTCTGTCTGATTGTCTCCCTGCGCGCCGCGGCCCGGGGAGTCGCCTGGCCCTCTCTGCGCAGCCCGCACCCCTGCACCTCGGGGTCCCCGCCGTGGGCTGCACCAGCCCGGCCGCCCCTGCGTGGGAGCTCGGGGCTGCGACGGGCTCGCGGGGAAGGCAGGCCGCAGTGGGTGGGGGACGGCCCACGCCCCTTCTGCAGGCCGGTCCTGCAGGGGTGATGGCCGGGGCACCCATTAGAAGGAACTCGGAGGCCCGTGGAGCAGCAGGGTGCGGGGGGTCCCAGGTGCATGCGATGCTTGCGCAGACGGGCTACCTGTTAGAAGCGACCAAGTGGCACCAACGTCCTTTCTTTGTTCTTTTTCCGGCCTTTCAGAGCTGACATTGCCCTGATTGGACTGGCTGTCATGGGCCAGAACTTAATCTTGAACATGAATGACCATGGATTTGTGGTAAGTGGTGGGCGCACGTTGCCTTCCTGGGGTGAGCACTGACGCATTTTTTTTTTTGCAGATCTCAAGGCGGCTGGAGAGTGCCTCTCACTCAGTGAGCCCTGTTGTTGCTTAGTCGCGTTTGTAAAAGAAGTTCTACTTTAATTGTGCTATCCGTGTAGTTGAAGGAGGAGCCTCTTTAGACAGAAGGGACTATAAAACAGTGCTTCTCAACCTGTGGCTTGCGACCCCATTGCCCACCCTCTATCTCTAAAAACAATTACAATTCCGTTCATAGGAGTAGCAAAATTACAGTCATGAAGTAGTTATGAAAACAGCGACAATGATTTTATGGTTGGGGTCACCACAACATGAGGAACTATATTAAAGTTTCACAGCGTTAGGAAGGTTGAGAGCCGCTGATGTAAAGGGAGATAGAACACTGGGGCTCAATTGGCTAGCGAGACTTAGCAAGTGAAAGCGGGATTTCTTTTTCTCAGTGGACAGCGTCTCACAGTGTTGCCACACTGGAGTCTTGGCTCCAGGGCTCAAGGAATCCTCATCTTAGCCAGCTGAGTAGCAGGGGCTACAGGATGCTCCTGCCTGTGGGCTCTGGATGTTCTTCCTAAATAGTAACGTGGTTTAGAGACCAGGATGACCAGGGACAAAAGACCAGGCCGTAGTGACAGGCTCAACCTGATAAGCGACAAATGGTGGCTGGCCTTTGCCTCCCTTCGCTGTGTTTCATCCTGCTGTGACCTAACTTTGCAGGGCTCAGCTGGCACTTTGGAAAAAGAGAAGGCAGACCAGCTCTCTTTAGACCTTGGACCAAATAACCATTTTGTTATTCTGGACCCACCACCCAAAAGTCACCTATGTCCGAGTTCCTCTAAGCGGGCCTTTTGTCCTCCAGGTCTGTGCTTTCAATAGGACCGTCTCCAAGGTTGATGACTTCTTGGCCAATGAGGCGAAGGGAACCAAAGTGGTCGGTGCGAAGTCCTTGAAGGAGATGGTCTCCAAGCTGAAGAAGCCACGCCGGATCATACTTCTTGTGAAGGCCGGGCAAGCTGTTGATGATTTCATCGAGAAACTGGTAAGGCCAGCTCTTCTCAAGGCTCTGCTTGCACCTCAGAGCCTGTGTCTTACTTACCTGAGACTCTGATGTCTTACTTCCGAGATGTTTTTATTTCCAGTTTCTGGATAGGAACTAATCAGTTCTGATGAAATAAATGATCACTTAAATGTTTCAGGCTGGCACTTGCCCAGTAGTAATTCTTACATTCTTTTCCAAAAACACTTTCTTTTCATTTTATTTTATATGTGTGTATGAATATGTGTGTATATGCCTGCGTGTGTAACTGCACATATTCATGAAGTTCCTGAGGAGGCCCGAAGAGGGCGTCAGATCCCTTGGAACTGGAGTTAATAGGCAGTTGTGACCTACCATGTTGATGCTAGGAATCAATCCCCGGTCCTTGGTGAGAGCAGTCAGTGCTCTTAAGCTATCTCTCCTGTTTTTTGTTTTTTTTTAAACGTTTATTTAGTATTTGTGTGGGTGTAAGCATGACACACTTGGATGTAGAAGTCAGAGGACAGTTTGTGGGGGTTGGTTCTCTACTTCCCCCATGTCGTTTCTGGAAAGAACATGGGTTGTCTGATTTGATGGGAGGTACCTTTACCTGCTGAGCCTTCTCACTGGACCAAGGTTATATTTATTTAATTTATTATTATTGTTTTGTTGTTGTTATTGGGCGGACATGCAGGTAGCGGTCAGGGCAACTTTTGGAGTCAGTTTTCTTCTTCCACTTTTTTTGGGGGGGGGCTGTATTGCGATAGGGTTTCTCTGTGTTGCCCTGGCTGAGCTCAAATTCCTGCCTTTGCCTCCTAAATGCTGGGATTAAAGGTGTTTGCCACCGCCACTCGGATTCCTATTCTACTTTTGCTTTGGTTCCTGGGATCAAGCTTAGGTCCTCAGGCTTATCCAGCAGGTGTTTCTACCCACTGAGCCATCTAGCTGGCCTGGACCTTGACAGTCCTCCTGCCTCGGCCTACTTAGTGCTTGGATTATAGGCGCCGTCTCCCCTACCTGTCTGTCTTACTGCTTTTGTTTGGGTTCTGAGACGTAGAACCCAAGCCTTTCACCTTCTGAGCCCCTCACACACTGAGACGTATGTATCCCCAGCTCTGGTATCTGGCAGCGTTGACTAACATTTCTGAACGTTTAGTGCTACTCACTAGTAAACCGTAGTGGCCAAAATGGGTTTTATTTAGACATGAGGTTCCCCGCACTTCGGTACTCATATAAAAGACTCATAGATAGTTGTTGTTTTTTTTTTTTAACACCCTTGTACCTTGGCTCTAGCAAGAATATCTTTGTAGAGAGAAAAAATATGCTTATGAATGAAAGAGAACACATAGAAAAATGATTTAGGTCCTCAGAAATAATTGTGCAATAGCCCTTGGGGAAGAAAGGTACCTGCTGCAGGAGTGCTGCTAGAAACCACGTGATCGCAGAGGGAAGGGCTTCTGTGTCTACGAAAGAGTGCTGTCATTGGGTTTGTCTCCAAGAGAGAAAAGCTAACCAGTTCGCTGCTGTTTAAATAGGCGGCTTAGGTAGGAAGAGTACTGTGATAGCAGACTAAGCTCCCTGTATAGCAAGGTGCCACTGCCCACCCGCCATTCACTCCCAAAGGGTGGGCTGAAAGCTGATTGAATTTTCTTCAACCTAGGAAAGTACTAAAGTGCCCTCAAGTGGAGCTTTGTAAGGGGAGACTGAGAGGTAAAGCATAGAAGCTGGCCAGGCGTGGAGACGCAAGCCTCTAATCCCAGCGCTCCAAAGGCAAAGGCAGATGGGTCTCCATGACTGAGGCCGTATACCCACCCAGGGCTGCACAGTGAGATCCTGTCAAGGAGGGAAGGAACGAAGCAGAGGGAGAGGGAGAGTATGTGGTGGAGGGGTCTCACTGGGTTAGTAGCCTCCAAGTTAAAGCTGTCATTAGAGCCAGGGAGGATTATTGGAGCATACTTAGTGAATGCCTTCCCACTGTTTCTTTGGGATACATTCTTGTTTTTAGTGTTCTAGGTATATTTTATTTCTATCTTTGGTCCACCCTAAGCTAGTATTTGGTTACAGGTACCATTGTTGGACACTGGTGATATCATCATTGATGGAGGAAATTCTGAATACCGTGATACAACAGTAAGTGTTCTTCAGTCCAAATTCTTTTGGCTCTTGAGAACATTCTAGAAAGAAACATTAGCATTGTAAATGTGACAGCAGAGTGAACTGTCTCATGATCCTTTGGGGATTGGTGCTGGCGGGCTAGATCTCAGTCTTTGCTGCTAAGACACTTTATGGGCAAGACTCTTAGTTGCGTGAGTGTGTGTGTGTGTGTGTGTGTGTGTGTGTGTGTAACTCAAGAGACGATGACTTAGATACAGCAGGCTGAGAGCTTTTTTGCACAATCTCTGCCTTCTATGATGCATAGCATGCCACGTGCAGCACGGCTGAGAAGTGCTGCCCTTACGGTGTGCGATGCCTTGATACCAAGGCGAGTCTTGTGTCTAAAATGTGACATGTGTGGGTCACCCACTAAACCTTTTCTTTACTGCATTTTACTCTGTATGGTCTGTTCCTTTAAGATGGGAGCATGTATTCGTGTAGCCCCCTTGGGGGATGGTGTAGGTTTCTCAAAAATCGGGTTTTTCTTTTAAGTTTTTTACAGGGCCTGTAACTTGTAATCCTCCTGTAGCCTCCCGAGTGACTTCCAGGAGTCCGTTACTGTTTTAAAGCTTAGCCCTCCACACTGTCTAGACTCTTGAATGGTTGGCTGCTCCTACTCCCTTAGGTCATTTACTACCAAACTTGAGCTCTATACTGGCCTTCCACCTCCTCTCATTCATCAAAAAGACTTTATTTTTGTGAGAAAATGCTAAAATTGCTTTTCTTCTTTTAGAGAAGATGCCGGGACCTCAAGGCTAAGGGGATCCTGTTTGTGGGGAGTGGAGTCAGTGGTGGTGAGGAAGGGGCTCGGTACGGGCCATCACTCATGCCAGGAGGGAACAAAGAGGCCTGGTGAGTACCATCAGCACCGCGTGCATTTCCGTGCAAGCCCGGCCTGGTGTGAACGGGACAGGGAGACAGTTCTGTGCTTGATCTGTGGAGATGGGGGTTAGAACTGGTGGCACTGGGCACAGCTCTGTCGTCTGGACAGTTTGTTCTTAGGTCATGTGTGTGCTTGCTTTCCTCTTACCTTTGCTGTCAGAGACTGGTCTCTGGCATACAGACAGCTATACCTTAGCCCAGTCCTGAGCATTGACTTCACAGGTGTCGGGCTTAAGGGTCTGTACCAAAAAGTTTGAGAGGATGCCCTTTTTTTTTGGCAGCATAGTGAGAAAGTCTTGGGGTTCCTGTGAGCCAAGAGTGAGGGTGGGGTGAAATGGAGAGCTGCCTTTGCCCCAGAGAAGAGTCTCTTAGTGTGCGGCACAGTCCATGGCCCTGCGTGGTCTCTATTGTACCTGGTAGCAGACATCAGCTAGGGAGGTGTCTTTGAGGATGATCTTGGATGGCTTGGGTTGGAGTCTTGGCTTATTCTGATAAAGTGACAGAAGAATCTTCTGTGCTTTGTGGGGTTAGGGTAGCGAGACTCTGGGTCGGAACCCAAGGCTTTGTGCATGTTAGATGTTCACTTTACCACTGCGCCATGGCCCTTGCCTCTCTTCTGGTGCTTCCGTGGTGCTTCCGCCTTGCCTCTTCCTCTGTGTTTGGTGCGGGAGAATTATCTGTATTCTGTTAATCATATTTTAATAAAACGCTGATTGGCCAGGCAGGCAGTATAGGCGGGAAAGCCAGACAGGAAGTAGGGGTGGAGCAAAGAGACTGGGAGTATTCTGGAAGCAGAAGCTCTCTCTCAGCCACTCCTGCACAGACCACCGAAGAGGCAGCATGTAACTTGCCCAGCTGAGAAAGGTACGGAGCCAATGTGGCTAATGTAGATAAAGATAATGGGGTAACATAAGTTATAAGAGTTAACAAGAAGCCTGACCTAATGGGCCAATCAGTTTATAACCTTAAGGAGTCCTGTGCGTGATTTTCTTTGGGCTTGCCGGCTGTTGGGGTACTGGGCGGGACAGAAACCCCAACAAGCCGGCCCCTCATACTACATGTGTTGACTCGGGTGTTCTGTGGGCTCCTCTCTAAGGCCCACACACGGGGTGTGGAGGCCACACCTGTCAGCAGTGGGGACTGGGGTTTCTCTGGGAAGCTGAGCACATCCATTACTGTTAACTGACCCCAAAGCTCGGCCTTCTCTTGTTGGCTGAACTGTACTTCCCCTTTCCACAGGCCCCACATCAAGACGATCTTCCAAGCCATCGCTGCAAAAGTAGGAACTGGAGAACCCTGCTGTGACTGGGCAAGTTCTGGGCTCCCCTCTGACCGCACGGCTGAAGAAAGACCACCATGGTCCCAGTGTTTAGCTCTCTGCTCTAAGCTTCCATCTAAGTCACTGCCCGGCTAGTGCCTGAAGCGCATCCCTGCCTGTCTGAATGGCATTGTGCCCTAACCAGCCCTTCAGGGCCTGGATGCTAATGTGTTAAGAGCAGATCCTCAGTCCTCCTATCAGAAGCCGGGAGCAAGGGTCGTTACAGCGCTTTACCTCATGGCCAGAGGACGCTGGAGTTAGAGCGGGCCTGCTGCCGTGTCATGCCATTGTCTCAGGCCGCGAGTATCTGAGGATCTTCGATAGCCTGCGTTTTGGGTTTTTCGTACTTGGATGTTCACCAGCGCTCAGGAGTCTGGCCATAGGCACTTTCCCTTCTGTTTGGAGAATAAATATTATCCCATCTGTGGCTTCAGCCAATGCCAAGAATGGAAAAGCACATCAGCCTAGGCGGCAAGAGTTGCCAGTGAGATTCTTTGTTCGCCGATAGTGTGACCTGGGACAGGCCACTGCAGGAGGACTTGTCTGAGAAATCCTCAGTTGCCCTCGACAATCTCAATGCTCTCACCAGCTTTTCTTCTGCTTTTCCTTTATTTTTTTTTCTTTTTCCCTTTCCTTCCTTTTCCCCCTCCATTTTCTCTGTCTTTGAGTTGTATTTATGTATCTGATGTATATGCACGGGAGAACTTGAGGCTACGTGTGGACATCAGAGGACAGTTTATAGGAGTCGGTTCTCTCCTTCCACTGTGTGGTGCTGGAATCAAACTCAGGTCTTCCCGCTTGGCAGCAAGCGCCTTTACCTCTGGACCATCTGACCATCCCCAGCACTCAGTGTCTTCTCAGTGCGTAGCCCAAGCAGGCCTTGGGCCCTCAGTGCTCCCTCATCAGTCTCCTGAATTACAAACCTGTGCACCACCACACCTAGCTCCCCTTTTTATACCTGTTATTTTATATGCCCACTTGGTCATTTTAGTAATGTGTATGATTAAGATCGTGATAACCTAAGGGCCCAGCCTGTGGGCATAAGGGTCAGTGCCAGCTTCAGTCATCCTCTGATGTAAAAAAAAGGTGGTGTAAAAGTCGTCCAGATTTTCCAATCTTCTTAGAGGAAGGGATTCCATCCCTGATGGCAGAGTAGAACCTTTAGAGTGCAGTCACCGTGCCTTCCTTTAACTCCCTCTAGGAAAAGTCAAAGGGAAAAGCCAGCTTGCACCTGTGGGTCTTGACGCAGTCAGAGTTGGCCTCTGTGGGCTAAAGCTTGGGTTCCGGCCATAAGAGTAAATGGTAGAGACTGAAAGCAGGTGACCGTAGGTTCATCCACTGCTGGAGCAACAGGAGGGTGAAGTAAGATGTCCTTACACTGCACAGTTAGTGTCCCAATTGGAAGGGGCCGGCCAGCGATAGAGGAAGCCTCTGTCTGCTAGAAGCATCACAGTGTCGACCCAGCAGCGACTGCCAGGAAGACTTGTCCCAGCCTGCCGTGGAGACAGCTGCGTGGACTGCAGAGCCCATGCTGTGATGTGCTTGACTATGCTGCGCTCATTCTTGTTCCCTGTCCATTGGACAATTTTCAGAGGTGGCCTTTCTAGAGGGCAGAGCGTTGATCAGAGTAACACGGCCGAAAGGCCCTTCGTAAAGTCCCTGTAAACTGGATACATCCTACCAGCTTAGCCAGTGCCTTGCCACTGACAGGACCATGAGGGAATGCATTTCTGGACTTGAAAGGTCAAGACGGTACCTTAACTCTCAGCTGTGAGGAACAACAGCATTACATTTGTATCTAGGAAAAATACAAGTAATTTAAGCAGCAGTTGCTAGAAATGTGACTTCAAGACCAGTGTGACGTCAACTTGTGGCTGGAGCTGGGGAGTAGGGAGTTGCTTTTAATAGTGGGAAATACAGGCTAAAGAGCTTGGGTATGCTGGGGGTTCCTATTAAAAATGCTGTTTTCTCATGTTATTATGTGAGATGGAGCTGTTCTGAAGTCTTCTGAGACTTCTCTTGTATAGTCTATTGCTCTGAAGGCCTCTTGTTGCTGATTGCCCTGACAGGTGGGAGACGAGGGGGCTGGTCACTTTGTGAAGATGGTACATAACGGGATCGAGTACGGCGACATGCAGCTGATCTGCGAGGCTTACCACCTGATGAAGGACGTTCTGGGCATGCGGCACGAGGAGATGGCCCAGGTGAGTCGCAGGCACTGCCTCCACCTCAGTAGGCACTGACCTGATGAGGGAGAACTTGCCCCTGACAATTAATACTTCCTCCTTCCTGTTTGCCTGGCTGTCTGGTGACCCACATGGACTCAGCCTAATATAAGGGAAGCTGTGGTAATGGCATCGTAAAATCTTGATATCCAGCCAAGAAGCAGTAATCATTGTCCACACTTAGTGAGCCAGGCTTTGTCAGCACTGTGTGTCACCGCCTATGTGGCCCTCCCTGGGCAACCCAGGGCCGGCCTTAGGCATAGTAGGCAAGGACTCTGTCACAGAGCCCCTCCCAGCCCTTATTCTCTTTCTCACTCCTACCTTTGCTCCATAAGGGCGGTAGTAGCTGTCCTTGTTCAGGTTAGGGCTAGAGCTCTGGAAGTTACTCCTGATCGCTCCTCCCAGGGCCAGAGAGAGCTCAGCAGTTGAGCACTTGGTGCTCTCACAGAAGACTGGTAGGGTTGGGTTTCCAGAACCCATGCGGAGGCCAGCAGTCACCCGTAACTCTTGTTCAGGGCATCTGATGTCCTCTTGTAACCTCTGTGGGCCTTGCATACAAGGGTGCATATGCATACATTCAGGCAAAACACCCAACGTAAGAATTAACTATATTGGGGGCTGGAGAGATGGCTCAGTGGTTAAGAGCATTGCCTGCTCTTCCAAAGGTTCTGAGTTCAATTTCCGGCAACCACATGGTGGCTCACAACCATTTGTAATGGGGTCTGGTGCCCTCTTCTGGCCTGCAGGCATACAGACAGAATCCTGCATAAATAATAAATAAATAAATAAATATTTTTAAAAATTGCCGATATAGGAAAGGATGGAAAAGAAGTAAAAAGTAATATTAAAAAAAAGAATTAAATGTATTAATAAACCTTTAAAAATTTTTAAGTTCATCCCAGTGGAAAAGCGTAAGCATGTCCCCCACATTTTCTTATGAAAATGTTCAAATACTGAAGACCCTCACTGTCATATCATGTGTGCACATCACCTAGATCCTACCACAGTCTAACTGCACTGCGTATTGTCCAGCCCCGCCCCGTCCATCCTGCATGGAGACATTCTAAGATAATCTGTTGGAAACAGGACCTTTTTCCCCAATGTAGCTTCATTAGATAAACATTTAGTTACCAACATAGGCAAGTATATCTTACCAATCATTTTCAGAATCTTTCATTTATCCTTTGACAGTTTATACACAGATACAGTGTATCTTGATCATACCCGCCCCAGTATTCCCATTCTCCCCTCCAACACCCTTCACCTCCATGATGGCCCCTCCTCCCTTTGTGGCTCTCTCTCTCTCTCTCTCTCTCTTAATTGTAACCTACTGACTCTTAATTACTGCTGCCTGCTGGAATATTGGCTTAGTGGGTCTTATGTGTGTGATGTGGGGAGGGGTTGTACAAGGGGATTGACTAGGCCTCATGGACTGTCATTGAGCTTCAGTCCTGACCCTCATGTATCTTGACAGCTGTTTGTCTCACTGGCTTGCCCTTGTTCATTCTAAAACATTTAACTTAGTTTTCGTTATCTTTGTGTTTGTATTCCATTCATTTACTTAATAATGTATTCCTACAACAAAGTGAGTACTTTACTATATGCAAGATCTATTCTAAATGCTAAGTATAAGACTATGAAGGGCTGGGTATAGCCCAGATAGTATAGCCTAGCATGTGTGAGGTGCTGGCTATGTGGCAGCGTGGAGCAGTGACCATAACTGAAGTCTGCGCTCCGGAGCCGGAAGACAAACAATAGTAGTGAATGTAAAGTAGAAATCTAGTGATCATTGTTACAGACAAAAGCAAGCTGAGACTAGCAGACAGAGTTTTGGTTTGAGTTGGGTTGGGTTTTAGATTTTTTTTTTTTTAAGATTTATGTGCATTAGGTGTTTTGATTTTTTTGGGGGGGGGTGTTTATTTTTTTTTTTAGAGACAGGGTTTCTCTGTAGCTCTGTGACCTGTCCTGGAACTAGCTCTTGTAGACCAGGCTGGCCTCGAACTAACAGAGATCCACCTGCCTCTGCCTCCCCGGTGCTGGGATTAAAGGCATGCGCCTCCACTGCCTGGCACTTTGTTTTGTCTGTCTGTATGTCTGTGTGAGTGTGCCAGAACTGGAGTTACAGACAGTTGTGAACTACATGTAGGTGCTGGGAACTGAGCCCGGGTCCTCTGGAAGAGCAACCAGTGCTCTTAACCGCTGAGCCATCTCTCCAGCCTTAACAGACAGGTTTCATTTTGTTTCTTGTTTTTATTTTTGTGGTACTAGGATGGGACTCGGGGGCTCATGCTCACTAAGCTTGTGTTCCAGTACCGAGCTACATCCAGTTCCATCCAGACATAGATTTAGATAGGGTAAGAAGGTAACAGCATGCATAGACCCAAGGAGAGGGCCGATCTAGTGGTGAGAAATTAAGCTGCCAGGCTGACACTCAGCACAGCTGCCTGACCTGGTTAGCGTGACTCAGTGGGCAGCAGTAGGAGGCTACAGGCCACCAAGAGGAGGGCCTGCTGGCCCCATGTGCTCAGCAGTGGATACACCAGCTACAGAGGCAAGGATCCAGCAGATGAGCCAGGGTGCCCACAGAACCCAACCCACCCTGCGTTCCCTTCTGTGTATAGGCATTTGAGGAATGGAACAAGACAGAGCTGGACTCGTTCCTGATTGAAATCACCGCTAACATCCTCAAGTTCCTGGACACTGATGGCAAAGAGCTGTTACCAAAGATCCGGGACAGCGCTGGGCAGAAGGGCACTGGGAAGTGGACCGCCATCTCAGCACTGGACTACGGCATGCCCGTCACCCTCATTGGTAATGTCGCACCTGCCACCTGTGCCTTTGGTCCCACTGCTCTGATCCTGGTGTCCTTCTGGATTTCTGCTCTGGACAGTTTGGAGACAGTCTTTGGGCCTGCTCAGGTGTCAGTGCGCCTTTCCTCTTTCTACACGTGGGGAACTCTCCTTATGGGCTCTGAGGTAAACGCAGACGATACCGTCCTTTCTGTGCACTTTTAAATCTGGCAATTTTTACATTTGACTGAAGCCGGGCAGTGGTGGCGCACACCTTTAAATCCAGGAGGCAGAGGCAGGTGGATCTTTCTGAATTCAAGGCCAGCCTGATCTATAGAGTGAGTCCCAGGACAGGCTCCAAAGCTACACAGAGAAACCCTGTCTTGAAAACCCAAAACAAACAAACATTTGACTAAGTATAGTCGTTAATATAAGACCTTTGTCCAGTTGGTTCTTGTGACAGTCTGGATAAGTAGCTCAGGTTAGCCTTGGCCACGTATCTTCTTGCCTCCTGACTGGGGAATGCAGGCATGCCTGGCTTTTTTGGCTTGTTTTGCTAAGATTTCTGTAATGGGTCCAAAAACAAAGGTTCATAAACATACATTTTGTTTATGTAGTCAACATTTATTAATATTTTACAGGTTCTACCCACATATACAGAAAAAATAGGGCATAACCTAGATTCCTTCACCTTCTCATTTAGAAGAACACCACTATCCACATCACTTTCTATTAATGGACTACACATCCAACTCAGATAGAAAGGTGGGGTGGCTCAGTTGGTCTAGTTCTGGGTTTGATCCCTGGCACCGGAGAAAACCAAACCCAGGGAACAAGAGAATAAGAAACTGGCTGTGGGTTGGGTTTTGTTGTTGTTGTTGTTGTTATGTTTGTTTGTTTGTGACAGAGTTGCACTGTGTCCATGTGTCTCCGTAGCCCTAGCTGGCCTGAAACTCATGGAGATCTGCCTGTCTCTCCCTCTTGAATGCCAAAACTGATTCTTTAAGAATAAATTAAAAGTCAGGAGGTGGTGGCAAATACCTTTAGTCCCAGAAGATGGAGCTCTTTGAGTTTAAGGACAGCCTGATCTTCTGAGTGAGTTACAGGATAGCCAGAGCTATACAGAGAAACCCTGTCTTGAAATATAAACAACAGGGCTGGAGAGATGGCTCAGAGGTTAAGAGCATTGCCTGCTCTTCCAAAGGTCCTGAGTTCAATTCCCAGCAACCACATGGTGGCTCACAACCATCTGTAACGGGCTCTGGTGCCCTCTTCTGGCCTGCAGGCATACACACAGACAGAATATTGTATGCATAAAAAAATAAATAAATATTAAAAAAAAAGAAATATAAACAACAAATAAACAGGTAAAGGCTCGTACCCCTAAACCCTATTACCTGAGTTCAAACCCTGAGACCCACATGGTGGAAAGAGAGAATCAACTCCTGCAAATTGTCTTCTGACCTCCATATGAATGCCACAGCATTCGCATGGAGAGAGAGAGAGAGAAATATGTAATAAAAAAGAATAAGGTACAGTGTGCTTCTGTAACCATAGTTACTTAGAAAACTATGACAGTAAAATCAGTTGAGGCTAGCAACTCAAGATCACCTTGGTCCTGTGTATATGTGTATGCGTGTGGGTGGACATTCCCATGCATACACATATGTAGACCAGAGGTCACCATCAGCTGTCTTCCCTGTAAAACGAGACTGCTCTTCTGTTTCCCAGCCGCCCAGACCCAAATAATTCACAACAAAACTATATTAGTTACAACACTGTTTGGCCTATTAGCTCAGGCTTCTTATTAACTAACTCTTGCATCTTAAATTAACCCATTTCTATTCATCTGTGAATGAATAGAAACAAGGCTGTGGGTTAATGGGTAAGGTTCTGTTCTGGTATCTGTCTCCTTTACTTGACTTACTCTATCTCTGTTCGGATTTCCTGCCTGGCTTTGCTCTGCTAAACCATTGGCTGAAACAGCTTTATTCATTAGCCAATAGAAGTAACACATATACAGAAGGACATCCCACATCACTTCCCAATCACTCTTTACCTTTATTTTTGAGACAGAATCTCTTCATTGAACCTGAACCTGAACCTGATTGGCTAGAGTGACTGGCCAACCAGCTGTTGGGACCACTGAACATACTGGGCTACAGTCATAGTTATGTGTGGCCATATCTTAGCTTTTTTACACAGGGGTTGGGGACCTTGTATGACAAGCACTCTGCCAACTTTGTCTTTCTTTCTTAATGCCCTTCTGCCAAGACTGTAACCAAAGTGAGTCAGGTGTTCACAGGAGTCTTTGTTCCTGGTGGAACAGTTCTTCTCTGATAACTCGGGCATTTTCCTGTTTACCTTCTCAGATATGGATGTATGGCTGTCTCTCCCTCCTTCTTTGTTTATTTTCTGCTTAGTCATGCCTCACCCTGTGTTAAACACTTGGGGCGAGACAGGGCAGGGGTGTGTGTGCATGTGTGTGTGTCCTGCACAGGTAGGAGGAAGTTGGCTGCATTTTGGCCAATCCCAGTTGTGTTATGTGCAGGGAACATCTACGCACCACTGACTCGCTACATGTAGCAATGTTACTGTCCTCAGTTTTAGAGACTGGGTTCCCTCCCACCACGCTGGCCGGATGTGGTCCTTTCCTACCTAATGAATAAAAGGGCACAGTCTCAGTCCAACTTACTGTATGGCCAGGAGGGTTCGCCGTGCTTGGTGTTGCACAATTGTCAAGTCATGCTGCACGGAAGGAAGGGCAGGAGTTGAGTAAGGGCAAGAAGACATTGCCTTTTCACCTTGCTCTCGAGCTATGGCTCGCACACTTTCCCCAGCACTGAAGTTCCAAATTAGTTGTTAGCCCCAGAGGTTCAACCTATTGTGTTGGAGGAAAAGAAAATTCATTCCTCTTCAATAAATTGAGCAAGTGGCCTGTCACAAGGGTGGTTTGTGAAAGTATTAAATGTCTTCATGCTCTTTATTAAAAGGTATTATGAAACCAGTGGTTGTGGGTATAAAAAACAGCCTGGGAGGTGGAGCCCCGGCTCAGCAGTTCCAAGCACTCCCTCCCCTTCCAGCGATTGGCTTCCTAACACCGACAGCAGGTTGTCACAGCCCCTGTAGCTCCAGTGCTGTCTGACTCCGCTGGCCTCTGAGGGCACTTCTCTCATGTCGAAACACGTACCCTTAAAAATAAACCTTACCAAAAAAAAAAAAAAAAAAACAAAACAAACAAACAAACAAAAAATGCTAAGCCTGGGGATTAGTGAGATAGCCTAGCTATTAAGAGCACTTGTTTTTGCTGGGCAGTGGTGTTGCATGTCTTTAATCCCAGCGGTCGGGAGGCAGAGGCAGGTGGATCTCTGAGTTCGAGGTCAGCCTGGTTTACAGAGCTAGTTCCAGGATAGCCAAGGCTACATAAAGAAACCCTGTCTTGAGGGAAACAATAATAATTTTCTCAAGTCTGGTGTGGTGCACACCTGTAACCTCAGCAGTTGGAGGCAGAAGCAGAGGACCAGGGCGTCGAGGCCGTCCTCTGCCACATAATGAGTTTCAGGTGGCTTGTACTTTATGAAGTTCAGTGTCATAACAAAATTTCTTTGAAATAGAAACTGAAATTTTACTATTGGGTTAATATTGAGTAATTGTGTGAATTATGTGTAATCATGGCCTTACCTCTATTTCACCTTGAAACTTCCCTTTGAATTTTGGTTTGGTCTTTGTGGTTGATGCATCTGTTCAGGGCTCCTGACCAGGTGTTGGTCTGGGGGTCTCTGACTGGTTGGATCTCTCACCCCTGCTCTGACTGTGCACATCCTCTCCTAGTTTCTCTGACCGACTCCCTCTTTCCTATGTAGGAGAAGCTGTCTTCGCTCGCTGCCTGTCCTCTCTGAAGGAGGAGCGAGTCCAGGCCAGCAGGAAACTCAAGGGCCCCCAGAAGGTCCAGCTGTCCGGCAGTAAGGAGTCGTTCCTGGAGGACATTCGCAAGGTGGGCAGCCCCTCGCCTTGGCCTTTGCGGTCCAGGGAAAGCTTGTGGGGTTATGAGATCCTCCACGGTGTTCTCATTTCCAGCCTTTCCTCTCTGGGGCCTCTGGGGTGAGAGTGACACCGGGAGGTGGGTGTGGCTGCCCCACCAACCAGCCTGGTGTTGCTCTCTAGGCCCTCTATGCGTCCAAGATCATCTCCTACGCGCAAGGCTTCATGCTGCTCAGACAGGCAGCCACTGAGTTTGGCTGGACCCTCAATTATGGTGGCATTGCCCTCATGTGGAGAGGGGGCTGCATCATCAGAAGGTAAGTAGAGGTGAGCTCAGGGCTGCCTGCTCCCGGCCTGGGCAGTGCTTACATTTCCCAGTAACTGGGAATAGCCATCCTGCGGCAGAACATTGGCAACAATGTAGGTTACATTGTTACAGCCCCCCCTTTGGGATAGGTCTCTACACCTTAAAATAATTATAGTTCAGAAGTATTTGGGAAAAAAATGAGCAGGTAAGTGGTGGTTCACTCCTTTACTCCCGGCACAGCAGAGGCAGGTGGATCTATTGAGTTTCTGGTCAGACTAGTCTACAGAGCAAGTTCCAGAACAGCTAGGACTACATAGGGAAGTCCTGTCTTAAAAAAAATAAAGGAAGAAAGAAAAAGGAAAAAAAAAATTGGGATCTGACGTGGTGGTGCACGCCTTTAATCCCAGCACTCTGGAGGCAGAGGCAAATGAGTCTCTGAGTTCAAGACCAGCCTGAGCTACATAGTTCCAGTACAGTCATAGCTACATAGAAAAACCCTGTCTCAAAAAACAAAGAAACAAACTGTATAAAACACTGCTAGGCCCTGCTCTGCTACCAGCACCAGAAAATGTTCTTAACTTTTAGAGACTATTTTCTTAGCATCATTCTCTAGGCAGTGCAATGAACCTGCTTTGTGTTTCGTTTGCATCATAGTAAACCAGCTAGAGATGATGGTGCTTTAATCCCAGCACTTGGGATGCAGAGGCAGGCGGATCTCTGAGTTCAGGGCCAGCCTGGTCTACAAGAACTAGTTTCAGGACAGGCTCCAAAGCTACAGGGAAGCCCTGTCTCGATTTAAAAAAAAAAAAAAAAAAAAAAGAGGGCAAGCATTGGCTGCTCTTCCAAGAGGACCTTGATTCAATTCTCAGCACCCACATGGTGGCTCACAACCATTTGTAACTCCAGTCCCAAGGGGTACAGTGTCCTCTTCTGGTGCCCAGACTTACACGCATGCAAGCAGCACATATACATTCTCTCCCTTTCTCTCTCCATGTGTATGCAGGGTGATGCACATGTTCCACAGTTGTGTGTAGAGGTCAGAAGACTTTTGTGGGGGTTGGTTTTCTCTTCCCACCATGTGGGACCAGGACTGTTTCAGATAGGCAGACTTGGTGGCAAACACCTTTGCCTCACTGGCTGCTCTGTGCTTCTCAGTGTTACTCTGCTAGCTCTAGGCGTGAGAGCCGTGACTTTGTGCCTCTGTGGAGTGCAGTGACTGGTTATTTCCAGGCCTTCAGCCTGCTGCTGTCATGAGATTGATTTCTTGCAAACTATTTCAGTGTGTTCCTGGGGAAAATTAAAGATGCATTTGAGCGAAACCCTGAGCTTCAGAACCTGCTGCTAGATGACTTCTTTAAGTCAGCTGTTGACAACTGCCAGGTGTGTAACCGGCCGCGGGTGCTGGGCTGTTTCATTCAGCAGCATCGGTGCTGGTGGGGTCTCCTGCAGACTGGAGCCTCAGCATCTCTGGGCAAACCCAGCCACTGACCTTCTGCTCTCTGTGCTCAGGACTCCTGGCGGCGAGTGGTCAGCACTGGGGTGCAAGCAGGCATCCCCATGCCCTGCTTCACTACCGCCCTCTCCTTCTACGACGGGTACAGACATGAGGTGCTGCCAGCCAACCTCATCCAGGTGAGCTTGGGAGCAGGTAGTGCCCTTGAACTTGGTTGGTTCCTGAGGGTTGTGTGCCTATGTGTTAACCTAACCAATCAACTGCACTCCTTTCCTAGGCTCAGCGGGATTACTTTGGGGCTCACACCTATGAACTCTTAGCCAAACCAGGAGAATTTATCCATACCAACTGGACAGGCCATGGTGGCAGTGTGTCATCCTCTTCATACAATGCCTAGTAGGACTGTGGCTCGCCCTCCCTCCCACCAACAGGACGGTTCCTGTGGCACTCAGCACTCCTCTCTGCCCTAGTTCCTGCTCAGATCATTTGGCCAAGTCTTGGCTGTGACTGCTGAAGAAGTCACTGAGGTCCGTTGTCCGGTAGTCCTGAACCACCACACGCTCCACCTCGACCTTTTGCACTGCCTAGGATCCTGTGCTCCACTGCGTGACCGCTCCCTGACTGAGTTGTGCTGTGTGGGTCAGAGGCTGCAGCTCATAGCACACAGCAGGGCTGGGTGTGGGATTGTACAGCCTGGACCATGGATCATGCGTGTGGGCTCTGTACACTCAGAACCTCCACTCAGTAAAAGCGACATATAGTTACCCTCTTCTGTCTGCTCTCTGGCCGTGCCTGCAGAGAGCACGTGTCTGCTCTCTTTCCGTGGGCAGAAAGGTCTGCACTGAGTTCATAAATGGGAAGTGATTTGTTTTCTTTAAAGACACCAAATAACACAGGACACATTAAATTGAAGGTGATTAAGTCTTGGGGGAGGTGAGGAGGCACCAAGGAGTAGATGGACAGGGTCTCTCGTGCCGTTTCTTACTGGACACACTATGTACCTGGAAGTTCATGTACCATCTACCCCGCCACACGCTTGGAATAAACTTCTTAGACTAGCTTGGTGCTCTCTCCTGCTGTTCGGAAGCTGGCTGGGTCCACTCTGGTCTGCCATGGGATTTCCAGTGCCCTGGATCTGTTCCTTTACCAGGCTTTTCATTTGTCTTGTTTACTGATACCATTGCCTGGCCTGGGGCCATCGGACTGTGTTAGGCCAGCAGTGAACTCCGCTCTGTGATGATTTTTCTGGACCCATTTAGTCCCATGAAGGGCCTGAGAGCAGAGCAAACAATGCCTGTTTGGACAGCTGACATGTCTCATCTGTCTCTGGCTTCGGTCTCAGGAGCTTCAGAGTAGGCAGAGCTGACGTGGGAAAGTGGCTTTTATCAAATCCTTATGTTGTTTTTTGAGGCGATGGCCTCCAATTCATGATCCTCCTGGAGTACAGGGTGCATCCTTACACCCAGGCTGTCCTAGAGTGAGGGCCAGGCCCACCCGCCCCTTCAGTCCCGCTTACAGACTAAGGACTGAAATGCACTCCTTAGAGGCAGAGGGATCTGGGGAGAAACAATGGAGAAACTGAGGATGAGAACTGAGAACCGGTATGCTCAGCTGTAGCCATTCCTACTTTACCCCCTGAGAAGCTATGGAGGTAGGATGGGGTCCTAGCCCAGCCCAGCCGTTCCTACTGGCTGTGTAACTAGTGAGATATTTCCTGCCCTTGATCTGTTTTCTCCAGTGATAAGAGTGGCGCTTGGTCCTCAGCACCCATACAGCAGCTGCCATGGGGATCTGACACTGTATTGGGGGTTTGTACAGATGTTCAGAAGGCCTCTGGCCAGTGTCCTGCATGGAGCACACAGTAGGTGTACTAATTAAAAACAGATTGGTGCTTCTCATATTATACCACCAGCATGATATCCCCCAGACACCTGGAGAGCTTCACAAAGTGCAGGTTGGGGGGAAGCCCTTCTTTCTGCATTTCCAACAAATCAGTTGGTGTCATGCTTCTGGGCACACGTGCACATGAACACAATCCCACACAAAAGATTCCAGTAGCAAAGCTGCCAGAGGACTAGTGTACAATCTCATCAAGGCCATGTAGGCAGGGTTCAGGTTCCGAGCTGTCCTGACAGCTGTTTTCCTCATGCACCTAAGCTCGTTGCAGCGCATGCATGTGCATGTGGAGGCCCATTGTTTATTTGGCACGGTCTCATTGTGACCCACAGCTCACCCAATTCAGCTAGGCTGGCTGGCCAGTGAGCCCCAGGGATTCACCTGCCTCTGCCTCCCTCCCCGGACAGATTTGAAGCACATGCCTGGTGACTGGTGATCTTTGCTTTTTTCACATGGGTTCTAATCCTGCCCCATCTCTTACTAACTTGTTATAACACTTGCTTAGCATGAGTGAAGCCCTGTGCTTAGCCCCAGCACTGAAGGAAGCAGCAGCAGGACGGCTCAGCAGGGAAAGGACAAGTCTGACCACCTGAGTTCAGTCTCTGGGCCAACTCCTCTGCATTTGCCATCGTGTGTGTGTTTGTGTGTGTGTGTGTGTGTGTGTGTGTGTGTGTGTGTGTGTAGCTTTCTGGGCGTTATGACACTTGTAGCTCTGGCACGCGGGAACTGGGGGATGAAGACCACTTCCAAGCAGTTTAATTCCATGAGGAACTCTTTTGAACTGTAACTGTTTCTGCTTATGAAATGGGGTTCAAACCGGGTAGATGAGAAAAGGAGCACCTAGGGTCTGAGGAGGGAACAAGACCAGATTCAGTGCTAAGTACACCTGGCAACCCTGACCTGGGTACAGTGGAACAATGGCGACATCTAGTGGTCAGTATTAGCTCTCGCATCATCAGTGGGACAATGGTGACATCTAGTGGCCAGTACAGGCTCCTGCATC